CAACACCTGATGGATTAGAGTTTTTCTATTGAACTAATAATCTTTGGGAGCCAGGAAGATTCTCTTAGCTGCACTGCTTTGAGAAGTGGGCTGGTCAAAAAAAAAAAAAAAAAGAAGTTATGAATCAGGGGGTCCAGCATTGTTTCATCTTTCCATCCAGATTTTCTTGATCTCCTTCTCTATCTGTGTTTACCCTTATCTCTTCCTCTTACCATCTTTGAAGAACCTAAGATTGCCTTAGAAAGGTTTTGAAACTCTCTGTAAATTCTGCTTCATGTCACTCTGTCTAAATTTTCCTTTTTTTTTTCCATCTTTTCTCCTTCATCCCTAAACTCTGGCTTCTTCCTCCTCATCTAAACTGCATATCTATCTATCTATCTATCTATCTATCTATCTATCTATCTAGTAATAGGGGACTGGCATATGCTTATAATCCATCTTGATCAATTTCAATTCTTTGAACCCCTCCCCATCTCTTGCTTCATTTCCAACAAGTTTATCTTTTTTGTTTCTTACAATCTCTCTTTTCCTTAACTTTTATCTATTTATGTTCTAGTTTACTCCTGTAAAAGAAACCATGCCACATTCACCTTTCTGTGTCTGTTTCAGTTACCATTATGGTCTCACATTCCATGTGTTTTCCTGTAAATGACACGATTCCATTCTTCTTTATTTATCAATGGCCTCCTATTGTACTTATTTACCACTTTTGCCATCATCCAGCATCGGCTGGTTGTTCTAGATCTTAGCTATTGTGAGTTGTGCTGCTATCAACATGGCTCTGCATGTGTCCATATAGTATGATGACTCCTTTGGGAACCCCAAGATGGTTATAGCTGGGTCAGTTGAAATTTCTATTTTCAGTTCTTTGAGGAATCTCCATAGTGGTTTTCCTATTTTATATTTGGGGACCAATTCTTTATTGATCTCCTTCTCTTGTCTGCCATCTCTACCAGCTTTGTGCTCTTTCTGTAAGTCTCTTCCACCTCCCATCATTCCAGTTGCTCCAAACACATCCCATACATCAGCCTCACCCAAAGCTCCATAATATTCTGGAATTCTTCATTAGCAAGCATCACCTTTTTATTTCTCCTGATCCCGGTCCTCTACCTTCCCAGTCTGTAGTGTAAGGCTCACACATGTATGCAAAAGATAGCAGAGTAAGCAACCCCTCACCTACATTTGTTACCAGTAACGTATGACATCAGTGTGGCCTCTCAACCTGGAGGTGGTATTTTTTACTGTGAATTCTAACTTTCAGAAATCCTGATAAACTTTAAGATCTGTCACTATCCTCTGATATTCTACTGAAGGTGCTATTTTCTATTTCTTTGTTTCCATGTCTTGCTGATGCATTTTGTTTGTATATGTTTTGTTTATTCTTGAGCTCCATTCATGTAGCCAGCAGCCAAATAGACTTGGGAGCTGCATTCAAACAGGTCTCTGGCAACCAATCAATTGGGGAAGATATAGAAGAAATTGAGATGTGGGTGGTTGTGAAAGGAGTTGCTGGATAACACAGTTTCTCAATAGCTCTTAAAATCTAAGCTACGCCTTAAACTGGTCATTATGTTTTCCACTATACTGAAGAGCAATTGCTCCAGCTGAGATGGGTTTCAATCTCATGGAATTACCTAAGATAGTAAAATTAACAATTCTGCTTCAGCGAAAGAGAAGGAAACGGATCAGATGCACTTTGTACTTAGTGATCCTGGAATTAAACCAAGAGATTCCACTCTAGTAAGTAGCATACTTGTATGTGGGACCTGGTGCATTTCTTTTGCCTAGTTTATGCTTGTGAACCCCAAGGTATTGGACAACTCAAAGACTGTGAGAGTCAGAAGGACCCCCAAAGTTGGTTCATTCCTATTGACCTGTTTGCTTATGCCTTCTTCTTTGTGAAAGGGTTCCCAGTGACAGAGCCCCCTTCCCCTCCTCCAGACAGGAAGTGACCTTTCCAATTTTGGACTCAACTATCAGAATGTTTCTTATAGTGACTCCAAAAGCTTTCTTTTCAGAAGTTCTCGGTTTTGTTGTGTTTGGTTCGGATTTTATCTCCTTGGGAGATAATGTAAGACAGCAATTATAGAATTGCATCTTTATCAGCCTAAATATTCCCAATGCTCTAAGTACTCATGACAGGTTTCTTTGTTCTTTTTTTGAATTTTTCTTTTAATTTTTATAAGTACCTGTTTGCAGTCTGTAATTATTTCATTTGTCACGGGAAATTGGTCTATGTATAATGATATAATGACACATTTTTTAAAATTTAAAAATGAGAAAAACAACCAAAATGATGATACAGAATTTCAAAACAACATATAATGACACATTTTAATTCTTTTTGTTATTCCTCTTACGCTCTCCTCTCTTCCCCTCCCTCCATCTTTCGATTCCCTTCCCTTTTGCAAATGATCAATCTGTTTCTTATTGCCTTTTATATTGCTCAGTAATTTATTTATAGTTTGGTTTTTTGTATACCAAAAATCATGTGATATTTAAGCTAGGGTTCCTGATTTATTTCATTTAACACTATGATCTCAAGATGCATCTATTTTCCTGCAAATGACTTAAGTTTATCATTCTTTATGGCAGGGCAGTATTCCATGGTAGCTAAATACCACGTTTTCTTTGTCTTATTTCAAATCTCTTGTATATTTGGTTGCTGTGTTCTCAGTGTGCTGCATTTTGCCTGGGTAGCAGAATTGTATGTTCTAACAGTTCAAAGGGAACAAGGCTTTTTAAAAATTTTTTTGCTCTTTATCTATTTTTTGATTCTCAACTGTTGACGCATTGTCTCCCAGCTTTTCAGACACTGGGGGCTTCCTTCTGAGAAGTATTTCTGCATCCGAAGATCATCAGTCACAACAGGTCTATCACTAATGGTCCTCAGGTTTAGATCTATTCGTGTGGAAGGGAATCTTTGTGTTTTTGAAGATTTCCTTTAATTCTTTGAATCATTTTCATTGTTTTTTAATTTGAGTTTATAATAAAATTTAAGCACTATTAGGCCAGTTTTGAATATTTTCGCCCAACACAGGTCTGAGAAATATTTATCGAGTTCGTGGTTTGTAATCCTGTCTTATATCCAATTGTCTTATCTTCTTCCTTTCCATCATCATCAGTCATGATCATGTTAGTGGTACACAGCTTCTTTAGCTTAGGTTTTGTTGTTGGTTTTTTGTCTCTAGTCCTATAGTCTCTAGGCTGTATATGAAGAGAGCCCTTGAAGTACTGTGGTTTTGAATAAAATGGGTGTTACTGATTTATGCCAACTTTGAGCTTTGCAGTGGTTCATTCCAGGGCTCCTACCAGCATGAGGGGAGGGAGGGATATTTCACGAAGATCTGTGGAAAATGGCTTCAGATTTGGATTACTAAAATTGGGTTGAAGTGTTTTATATTGCTTCCCTGGTCAGAGCTCTCTTGCTAGGACAGCTAGAAGAACTAATATATACAGCTGGGCATAGTGGGAGGCTGAGGCAAGAGCACAGCGACTGATCAAATTAGCAGAATAGTGTCAAAAAGTTTTGAAAAAGGAAAACAAAATGGCTGGAGATATAGCTTGCTGCAAAATCTCTGAGTTTAGCCCATGTATTTTCCCTTCTCCCCTCTGCCAAAAGAGCCATTACATCAGTATGACCTGATGACAGCAACTTTTGTTGTTCCTTACCTCTGCAATGTATTATGGTCCATTAACCACTCTGACCTCAGTTTCGTCATCCATTAAATGGAGCGAACCTAACCTGGCAATCAGGATCTTGGAACTCATCTGTTGATGAAATCAGGTAATATGTCCCAAGGCACATGGTAACCCAGAACCAGCACCAGACCACTCTTGTCATTCTGGAATTTCCTTATTTGGCCTTTATACCTGCATACTAATAAGTGAAGAGCATCTTGGTTATCTCTTCCATAGATGACAATATGGCGAATTCTCTCCTGTAGGCTCATTCGGAATCTCTTTGTCTGTGTCACAACCTGCACGCTGTCCTCACAATAGGGGGAGAGGTGATCAATATCCTTAATGCTGCACTCATCACCCCTTTTGGGTGTGGTCTGAGCCCCTCCCCCTTTTTCCAGAGACAGAGCATAGTCTAGATTCACAGGGCAGGAGGAGCTCAGGATACCCAGTTCTGATCCTAGCTGAACTGATGACTATTCTAGGGCATTGAAACATCACTTGATTGCATGAGCTTCTCATTCTGTTTGCAGAAACAGAGCGATATGTTTGGTTTCCCAGCTCCCTGCCAGGGCAGGTTAGAATGAAGGAGCCTGGATCTGTCTGCAGAAAGAAGTTACATGGACAGCCAGTCTGGTTTCATCAAATGCAGCGGCAGAAAGTTGTCAGGGCTCCTGGGACCCCCAAAGACCAAGAGAGCCCAGGAGACTGGCACGTCCTGCTTTATTTACTCAGACGAGGGCGACCACGCCTGTCTCCCCAGAGCAGCCTGTGCGTGTCTGACTTGATGATGCATTTGTGCTGGTCAGGGAACTGGACCTGCAGCAGAGGCAGTGGTTGTCAATCAGCATTTCCATAGAGAGCATTAGCTGTGCAGTGCAGGGTTTGACTCATGCTAACTCTACTCACCTGCATTTGGAGACAGACGCACAGAGAACTCTGGATCCCCAGAGTGCTTCCCTGAGGCCCCAACCTGAAACTCAAACAGAGACCATGGCTGGAGCTGGACCCCGAGCCTCTACTCCCCTGTCCCACTCCCGGCTGTGCGCTGTTTTCTGTCTTTTATACTTCTACTGAGGCATGGTCTTGAGTCCTCCCTTGCCATGCCACACATCTCCCACAAGGGGGAGCCCCTGGAGGGCAGCTGAGGCTGAGGAATTTTGGAAGCGCTGAAGTTTTCTCCTCCTGTCCTGCAACTGGTTTTCACTCACCCAACGGTGAGATTTCTTTGTTGCAATGTTGGAGTCTGAGATAACACTGTTGGAAGCTGCAGCCAGACTCGTAGCCGATGCCATCTTTTATTGTGTATTGTTTACCAGCATTCTAAACTAAGGAGGCAAAGGAACAAAGACACGCAGGACTCCCGGGGCCCTGGATGGAGGCTGGCAGCTACAGACAGCACCAGCACGTCTGAGGGACAACCAGGAGGTGCCTCTGGCTGTGGAGCTCAGGTAGGTGCCTGGGAAGGGACGACAGGAGAGGCGTCCTCAGGGAGAGAGGCACAGAGCCCCTCATGGTGGGAAGATTGGATAGAGCAACCTCAGAGGGTGTGCAGAAGAGATTTAAGGGGAAAAGCAGGGTACAGAGGCCTTGGGAGATCAAGGAAGAGAAGAGGGCCAAAAAAAGAGAGGGTTTTGCCTGGAGGAGGGCAAAGGAAATAAAATGGTCTCACGGTGCGATGTGAAAGGCCGACCACAGGCGGGCGGGAGAGGGAGGGAACTGAATCAGAGATGAAATTGGTTTGAAGTTGATTCCAACTCGGCCGCCCTAGAAACTTCACAAGAAATGAGAGGCTGAGAGATTGACAGGGAATGTGTAGTTGGATAAGAAATTCAAAGTGAGTAGGTTTGCCTCAGTGGATCTAATCATGCTGGTTGTGTGTCATGGAGCAACACCTACTCGGCCTTTGAACTAAACTACAAGGAATTGTGGTCTGCTGGCCTCTTCGGGTCAGCTCCTCTCGGAACTAATGTTGCACACTTTCCTTTACTTCCTTTGACTCTCCCAACATTGCTCTAGTAATGGACTAAGAATCAGAGATTCTGTATTCTGGTCCAGGATTTGCCACTTATTGGTGCGATTAGTTTAAGCAAGGAAACACTGGTGTTTCTTTTTCTTTTGTCTGTAGAAGGAAGATAATAATATATTACTGATGAGCCTTACAGGATTTTTCTGAGGATTGAGTAAGTAAGATAATGTGAATAAATGCTCTTAATAGATTATAATTGCTAGCTAAATAAAAGTTGGCATTAATAATAATTAATCAGTTAATATACCCCTACTACTCTCAGCAGGGGATTTGCCTACTGAGCTTTGGAGGAACACACACACACACACACACACACACACACACACACATGCGCACATCCTCACACATACAGTATTCTACTATTTGTGGGAAATTTTAAATACATAACTCTCCATATCCACAGCGCTTGTAGAGCAATCTCTTTGGCAGTTTAAGTGGGAAACCGTGCGATCTTTCTCTTTCGGTTTTCAGATACTCTTTTTTCTTGGCCTCGGCTACATTTTTCTCTTTCTCAAACAGCAGATAGATTGATGGTGTCTGCTTGCCACCTGGGCGAGAGCTATCTGTGTCCTGGAGGCTACCAGTAGACTAAAGGTCGCAGTGTGTCTTAGGTGTGGCCAGATGCATATGCTCGAAGAAGCAGATCGGAGGCCAGGTTAATCATCCCATTGCTCTATTCCCTATTAGGATGCTCGTACCAGGTCACTTGTCACTTTTTCTTTGAAATATCACAGATAGGAAGTTGGGCTCTGTCCTCTTGGTCTGGCTTATGAAGATTTGGCCTCGACACCTGTAAACCGTGTTAACCCTTTCCTCAAGTCCCCACAGCAGATGTCTGGGGAGGACAATGTGGACCAGGGGGCAGAGTTCAGCTTCTCTTCATCTGTCAGGTGGAGTTGCCACAGCCCTCTCTTCCTGCATCCGGACGCATCCTCAGGGAGTGCGTGACTGCATCTGTGCGCACGGACATGGCTGACTCTACACGTGCTCAGCGTCATCGGGGCTCTGCTGTGTGCTTTTCTCTAGCCACGGGCTCACTTTCCGGGGTCTAAATTATTTTAAAAACTCTCTCCAGCTGTTAATGTATTCTCCTAGTCCTTTTCATTGCCACCAATCGACTGATACATAGATCAAATATTTATAGAGATACTAATTGTAACTCATATACCTCTTCCTCTTTAAAAAGTTAGTCCTATGTAAATCACATTATAGATGCACAGTATGTATAAAACTTGCTATTTTTCTAAAATCACCGAGTATGCATATACATATTTTCTCCTTTCATATATATATATATATATATATATATATATGTATATATATATATATATATACACACACACACACACACATACATATCTTCTCTTTTAATTATGAGGAGATATATGTATATATCTCCCATTTGTTGAAAAATATGCAACTGTATATTTCAGAAGACATACATAAAATTCACATGTCATTCTCATTTAAAAAGCAGATTTAGGTGGCAAAAGGAACAAACATACTTGCTTTTTCAACAGTTCAGCTATTTTCATGTTCAGAAGTAACCACAACACACAATTCATGTGGTTAAAAAAAATAATGGATCGATTTCTGCTCTGTTTCTAGAATGAATATCAATACCTTGCTTCTTTTAGACAGACTGTCAGCAGTAGCAGGTATTTTCAAGTGAGTTTTTTTTTTTAAAAATACATTTGCAAAGTCAATTATTTTGAACCTCATCGGAGGCAATTAAAAAACATCCTGACATTTAAGGTGATATTTTTTCCGAAGTAAAATAATTATAAATAATACTAATTATGAACAAATCATTCAGTTACTCTCAGTCTGGTTCAACCTTTAGGTTAATAAACCAATCCATTAAAATTCATCTTGCTCAAAGGACCAATTTGTTAAAAAAATGTAGTAACCTTTTGCCACAAGTATGATTGATATTTTCTTTAACAATAATCAGAGCTGTCTTTCCCAGAAGATAGTGTGGTCAAGCAGTAAGTATAAAAAGCTAGGGTTCTTTTGTTATTCTTTCAGGAACAGTTCATAAATAGGCACAAAATAATGTTGGTGATCAAGAAGAAGATAAGGGTAATATGCAAAATTAAAACTCTGATCTCAGAGACTACCTTAAAGAATTTCCTGAAAGTTTCAGCAAGCCAATAATATCATTCTTCATGCCAGGAAGAGTTCATATAGTTCCCTTTGCCTGTAACATTCTTACAAGATGCATAGGGTAGAAATTTGCAAATATGGCCCATGGGCCAGCTCTAGCCTACGATTTGTTTCTGTAGATAAAGATTCATCAGCATAAGGCTCCATCCATTTGTACATCACCTGTGATTGCATTTCTACTACAAAGAAAGAGTTGAGTAGTTAAAGCAGAGACCAAATGGTCTGTAGAGCTCAAAATGTTTCTTATGAAGCCCCTACAAATATTTGTCAACCCTTAGGGTGGGTAATAAAAAATCATCTTCTAGATTACGGAAGTGACTAGTATCTGACAGGTATTCTAGGCTTTAGAAAGTCTGGCCATTGCTGTATTGTCCTAAGTGATATCATGCTTACAAAACTGATGAAAAATTGTGAGCTTTTTTATGGTCATCCAATCATTAAATGGTATAGGTAGAACTGGGCCTTTGCAGGTGCCTTAGTGGCAGCCTAGAGAAAGTATGAGAGGGGTATCAATTGGACCAATGCCACCCAGCTCTCTTATCATCCAGATACAGCCATTGCCAAGAGACAGTAAAAAGATGCAAAACTCTGAACATCGTGTTCCTCCTTATCTGACCTTGGCTGGGTGATCTTAGCCTTCTCTTCTACATCCCGTTCTCATACCCAGCATTATATGAATAAGAAAGGAAAGCACAGTGCTTTGTAGCCAAACAAAGCAAGACTTTATTACATCAACTCTCACTTATCCATCTGCCCTGATATTGATGCTGTTGCATGGGTACTACAAAACAGAAAATGACAGAAAAGTCTTTGCTTTTGCAATATACTCTTTTAAAAAGTTTTTTTTTTTTGAAACAGCAGATCCCTTTTTTTTTTTTTTTTTTACTAATTTTCTTTACTCAAGTTAATATCAAAATATGTCTTTCCCTAGAACTTGTGACATCCACTAGCAAACCAAGCCATAAGGAGCTGGACCTCAGAGGAAGGAAGCCTGGAATAAAACCCTGCCTTTGAGATTCATAGATGAGTAAAACAATAGTTGTTTGTCAAGGCCAAAGATTGTCTTAATCTTGTGTTTTCATGGAGAGGTGATGGATAATACAAGTGAGAGAAGAATAATAAAATTCTATATTAAGACTTTTCTGATGATTCCAAGCCAAAGATGGAGACTTAAATAATTGAATGAATTCAATTTTCTATTCAGTCAACATTTTGGCCCTTCATTGTGACATGATTGCTGAAAGTTGAAGAACTAAGATTCAGATTTCTTCAAAAAGTGATTTATTACAGAATGAAACGTGTACACATGTGTTTATAATACACACTAGAAGTAAGCAACAGAGCTGAACATGGTGGCACATGCATGTAATCCTAAAACTGCCGGGACACTGAGGCAAGAAGACTTTGAATTTGAGCCTTACTTGGGAAACTTAGCAACTTAGGGAGATCCTGGTTCTAAGTGAAACACATAAAGGACTGAGGGTGTAGCTTTAGTATCAGACAGAGCCAGTGTCATAGAGCACAGGAATCTACTCTTTTTTTTTTTTTTTTTTTTTTTTTTTTTTTTTTTTTTTGTGGTGCTGGGGATTGAACTCAAGACCTTATGCTTGCCAGGCAGGCGCTTATGCCACTGAGCTATATCGCCAGCCCCAGGAATCCATTCATTTTATGTGGAGCATATGGTTACTGGGAATGGAAGATGATAAATCAAGTGAGGTAGGTTGGATCCTTAAGGAGAGTCTTGGATTATAGGTTAGGAAATTTGGTCATTATTTTGTACATGGTGAAACTTACTGACTATTTGTGCGCAGGAGAATTACATGGTGGTACCTCTGGTTGGGAGCAGAGCACAGATGTTTGATAAATCCTGGAAGCACGTATACAATTAGAGGTGAGATTAGAAGGCAGCACCTCCCATTGTGCGCTCATGGTAAGGCTGCTGGTCTTTCATGACCCCAGCTATTGTAGGTTAGAGCACTGGCTGAGGGCTTTCTGAGGGCATTTATTTAATGGCATGCCAGTGGCATTTACTCACAAAACCAAAAAGCCATTTGGGCCAGAAATAGGGGTTTTGGTTACTTCCCCAGACAGGATGCAGTTTGGGTAATTATACACATGATTCATCGGGGTCGGGAAACAAATCCTCTACAAACACACACCCCTCCCCTCAGAGCTCAGTGACTCATGGCTTGTTCAGTTTGATCTATGGAAGCCTCTGGAGGCTGGGCAGAATTTGAGGTATGATGTTAAATCATA